TACAGGCATCCACTACACGTAGGAGTGGCCCTTCGCCGGAGTGACCTTTGGTGCGGGCCCACCGGGGCCCCCCGATTCCGAACGCGATGCGGCAGTAGTGTCTTGTAGTGTCTTGCGCGCTTTTGTGTTGGCCCTCCCATGGCCCCCAAGAGGCCGCGCAACCAAGGGCATTCTTACCCGGGTCCCTCTTGCGTGTAGACGAAGGCAATCCATGACGGATTCGCAGAGCCGCGTGATCACGTTTGAGGGCTACAGGGGCTGCCCATTCGGCACGTGCGTGTCGTGGCTGCTGCCCACGACCACCGGGGTGTTCGTCGCCGTCTTCGCCACGATCCTCTTCGACTACTACTACGGGTGCACGTGGGAGTGGCCAGCACAGCTCTGCTACGTGGGCACCTTCCCCATCTTCGGCAGCTTTAACACGAACTCATACGTCTTCATGGTGGTGTGGAGCGCCGGGGTCGTCTGGTTCTCGCTCCTGGTCTGGGGCAGCCACGGGTCCATGGCGAACCTCTTCCGCCTGCGGGTGCCCCTGGTCGACGCCGAGTACGTGCACATGACTGTCGAGGAAAAGAGACAGGTGATCTCCAGCGGCTACTCCCGGGTGCTGAGGCTCAGGGACGCCGCCGCGCGGCTGCTCGGCAGGCTCGCGGGGGGCCCGCGTGGCCTGCCCGGCGGGCTCTTCTCGCTGAGCGGGGGCCCTTCGCAGACGGTGGCGCTCCAGCGCTCCCCCGACGGCACGCGCTTCCTGGACTTCCGCTGCTCCTGCTACGCGCTGGAGGAACTCGGACGGGGCTAGGACGTGGATGCATCCGTTCCAGAGCGTTCCGGAGCGCTCCCGGCGCGTTCTGGAAGGCTCTGAGAAGACCGCGCCGCCTGAGACGTCCTCCGGAGCCGCCGGCTCTCAGAGATCATCGATTCGTCCTCACCCGATGTTATTCTTGCCCTGGCTTCGTCTCAGGAGCGGCTGGGCCTCTTCCACGAGTACGACCCCAGCAGCGCCCTGCCCGAGGGCGGCCACGCGGCCCTCCAGGGCATCCTGGACGCGGGCGGCTTGCGCCTCGGGGGCGACGGGCTGGACGAGCAGGGAGCCCCGGTGCCCACCGTGGAGAGGCTGTATCGCGCCGCCGGCCCCAACGAGATCCCTTTCACGGTGGTCGACTGCACGTAGAGCGGGCCCTTCGCCAGAGTGACCTCTAGTGCGGGCTCACCGGGGTCGCCCCGATCGCCGAGCACGGTGCGATAAAATGGTTGCCTGCGCGCTCGGATTTGGCCACCTTGCGTCCCCTTCATCCGCGCCTTACAGGTCACTCTTGCCTAGGGTCGCTCTTGCGTGTAGCCGAGGTGGACGCGTGGAAGGCGGCGCTGAAGGAGGAGTTCGCGACGTTCTTCTTTCTGTACCAGTTCTCCATCTACGCGGTCTGCCTATGGTTTTCGTACTGGCACTACACAATCATTGCGCTCGGGGTGGCGATCATCTCTGCCTGTTTCAACGTCAGCATCAAAATCAGGAACCAGAAGGCCATCAAGGCCATGATGGAGCAGTCGTCACGGGTGACGGTGATGCGCTCCTCACAGGAGATGGAGATCGACTCGCGGCACATCGTGCCAGGCGACATCGTGAAGGTAGAGAGCAATGGCTGGCTGGTGCCCTGCGATCTGCTCCTGCTGCGAGGCGCGGCCGTGAGCGACGAGTCGACGCTGACTGGGGAGAGCATGCCTGTGCAGCGCCTGGCGCCGACGGAGCCGCTGAAGACAGACGGAAAGGGCCAGCGCTTCCCAGCCAAGCACGTCCTCGTGGCCGGAACGGAGGTGCTCCAGGTGTCCGACGGCACCTGGGCCGTCGCGACGCACACTGGCGTCGGCACGCAGAAGGGGCAGCTCATGCTCCTCATCCTGTACCCCCCGAAGCTGCTGTTCAAGTACGACGAGCAGCTCGGGGTCGTCTTCCTGCTCCTGATGACGTACGCCACGTTCGTCGCGTTCACCACGATGAAGATGATGCGCGCGCGCGCCCGGGCGCAGAACCTGCCGCTCACCGCCACGTGGGCCTCCGCGATCTTCTGCTGCTCTTGCGTGGTGCCCTCCATGCTGCACATCGTCCTGTCCGTGGGCCAGGTGGTGGCTGCGGAGCGGCTGCGGAAGCTCGGCGTCTTCTGCGCCGCGCCCAAGCGCATCACGCTCGGCGGCAAAGTGCGCGTGGTGTGCTTCGACAAGACGGGCACGCTGACCACCCCCAGCCTGGAGTTCTTCGGGGTGCACTGCGTGCAGTCGCCGGGCGGCACTGCGGCGCGGCCCGCGGGGCCCTTCGGCGGGTGGCCCTCGCGCGCGGCCGCGGGCGGCGCCACAAGCCCGAGCCTCGAGCCCGAGCCGCGGCGCGGCGGGTGGGCGCCGGAGGTGGAGTGCGGCCTGGCCAGCGCGCACTCGCTGTCGCCCTACGGGGGCGAGGCCGGCGTCGTAGGCAACGCCGTGGAGGTGAACATGTTCCGGGCCTGCGGCTGGTCGCTGCCCTCGCAGACCGAGGCCGTGTCCGGCGCGGGCGGCCCGAAGCAAAAGGTAATCATCTTGCGGCGCTTCGATTTCTCCCACGTCACGATGACGATGAGCTCCGTCGTGGCGCACTCGCCCTCCGGGGAGCGCGGCGTCTACTGCAAGGGCAGTTTCGAGCAGGTGGCCGCGAGGTGCATCCCGGGCAGCGTGCCCGCGGCGTTCGCGGCCACGGCGCAGCGCCACGCCTACGCCGGCATGTACGTGCTGGCGCTGGCGGGGCGGCCCCTGAAGCCCGAGGAGGGCGGCAGGATCGCAGGCCTGACCCGGGAGGACGCCGAGAAGGGCTTGGTGATGCTCGGGCTGCTGCTCTTCAAGAACCCCCTGCGGAGTGACACCAGGGACGCGGTCGAGCGGCTCCGCGGCGGCGAGGTGCGGAGCGTGATGATCACCGGGGACGCGCCTGGCACCGCCATCCGGATAGCGAAGGAGGCCGCCTTGGTGCAGCCAGACATGCCAGTGCTCTTGGGGGACGTGGAGGCCAGCGGCAGCGTCGTCTGGCGCAGCGATCCGGAGGACCTGGGCACGCTCAGCGAGCTCCTCGTCGGCAACGGGTGGCTCGCCTGGCGAAGGGAGTACCAGCAGTGGCTCCAGGCGAGCCAAGGGGGCTCCAGGGCCCACGCCAGGTCATGGGAGGGCGGCGCGTTCCCGGACAGGGAGGACTCGGGCCGCATGGCGCGGGCCCTGTCCTGGGACCTGAGCAAGGCGCGGGAACACGGCGGCCACGCGGCAGCCGGCGCCCAGGATGAGGAGGAGGACCTCGCATTCTCCACGGAGGAGCTCGTGCTCTCGCGTCTGTTCGAGTGGTGCGAGCTGGCGGTCACGCAGCGCGCGCTCGAGTGGCTGGAGGGCCACGAGTGCTCGCTGGACCTGCGCCGCGTGCTCGTGGGCAGCCGGAGGAACATGCTGAAGAAGGGCCAGGCGCTGTGCGGCGGTACAGGCCAGAGCTCGACGGCATGGGAACTGATGACGAGCATCCGCATCTTCGCGCGCATGACGCCCGCCGGCAAGGTGGGCGTGGTGGAGGGCCTGATGTCCCAGGGCCTCATCTGCGCCATGGTCGGCGACGGGGGCAACGACTCCGGCGCCCTCCGCGCCGCCCACGTCGGCATGGCCCTGAGCAGCGCCACCGCGGCGACGGTGGTGGCCCCCTTCACCACCAACCGCGGCTCAGTGGCGCCCATCGCCGACATCTGTCGCGAGGGTCGCGGCGCGCTCGCGACCTCCTTCGCCGGCTACAAGTTCTGCGTGCACTACGGGCTGCTGAACTCGTCGTTCAAGTTCGTGACCTACTACTACGGAACCTCGCAGACGATGGCCGCCAACTACTTCCAGGACATCGGCGGCTTCCTCTCCCTCTCCTACGCCATGACCCTCGCCAGGCCCGCGCTCACGCTCGTGGGGGACCGGCCCTCGTCCTCGCTGTTCTCGGTGTACATGGTGGCTTCGGTCCTCGGCATGTGGCTCATCAACGTCTTCTGCCTATGGTCCGTCTTCGCGGCCGTGACGTCGCACGAAGACTACGTGCGGTTCCCGGTGCATCTGGTGCTGATCACGCAGTGGTGGAAGCGGAGCCGCAATTGGGAGAGCACTTGCGTATTCTTCTGCTACTCGTACCAGTTTTTCTGGTCCGCGCTGGTCTTCTCCTTCGGCCACCTCTTCCGTCTGGCCTGGTACCAGAACGCGCTGCTCTTTGCGCTCGTGTCGGCCGCACTCGTCTTCCTGAGCACTATGCTCCTCGGGCCCCCGAGCAGCCTCACTCGGCTGTTCCACATCGCTCTCGAGCTGGAGGAGGAGCACGAGCCCTGGACTCCGTCGGACCCATGTCTGCCGATGCCCTACAACCTGCGGCTGCAGGTGTTCACAACGATCGTGGCGTGCCTGTTCGCAAGTGGCTTCTGGGAGAAAGTGATCGTCCAGGGTAGGATCGGCATGCTGGTGAGGGACAGGTGCCGGCGGATGTCCAAGCACATCACCGTGCGTTTATGATAGCATCGCCCACCGCTGTTCGTTTCGGTTCCTCCTCCTTCTCCCCTCCTCCGTTTTCTTCCTCACCCTCCTCTCCACATCATCCTCCTCCTCCTTCTCCTCCTCCTCTTCCTCCTCCGCCTTCTCCTCTTCCTTTTTTGACGTTGCCCAGACGTGAAGCGCAAGCTTGCCGCGCTCTAGTGCTAAAAGACAAATGAAGTATGCGGACTTAGGCAGAGTGCAAACGACTTAGGCCTGGCGGGCGCAGCATGAAACAGGAGAACAGAAAGGCGCGAGAAGAGTGCAGGGTCCTGAGACTTTAGAGTATGCGCCCGCCAAGCCGCAGACATCAGCTAAACCTGGTGGTACCCTGGTGCCCCCCCATACCATAGAATAGACACGGAAATACTCCCCAATCCTCCTTAGTTCAGCCAGGCAAGTTGTGGCGTGGCAAAGTAAGTGAACGGCGAGAAAGGGTAAATTGTGCAGACGGCTCCAGGAGCATGCGCAGAGAAAGTTTACACGTTGTGTTGGCGGCTGGCACAGGCCGTGCTGGCTGGCCCTGCAGCAGGGTAAGAAAAAACAAGTATTGGGCTGCTACCCGTATGACCCCTCGCACTATTCTTCCTCCTTTGCTCATGCATCCAACTCCCATCCCCAGTATAGAGTCAAGTTGCGCAAGAGGCGAGGCTTAAAGCTGTCAAAAAAGAGCAAGTGCAAGTGGTGGCAGTTCTTGGGTTGCCGCCCAGGGCTTTTCGATACACCACGATCCTCCATGGTCCCAGGACCCTCGTGCTTTTTGCTAACTTGTTTGGGTTCAGCACGAACCCTTGGCACCAGCAGATGTATGGCTGGGGATGGCAACGGCTGAACGTGCTGATTGGTGCCGCTAACCGTACAGCAATAAGTAGGCTAGCGCTGTAAAAGGTTGGCCTGTGTAGGCTGGCCTGTGTTTTTGTTGTCTGTGTAGGAGCGTAAAGTCTGGAGCTAATAGAGCTGAATAAAGGGGGCCACTCCCTGAATACCAGGGGTCCCGACATGAGAGTGAGCTTTGAACTCCAACGCACCTCCTCATACCCAAGCCCCACCTGTCAGCCCAATCCTGTCGTACAGCTCACAAGTCAAAGTGGTAACGAAGCGAGCAAGAGGATCAAATAAAATGTTGCACAGGCGGCGCAAAGTGGAACATGAGGATAAAAGATGTGACGCTGGAGGAACTGATATGATTTGCACGGCAGCGGCTGGGAAGCACTGCGGAAGAGGAACGAGATTGTATTTGCTGACTGGTGCTGCGAAAGTAGTTCACAGTGGGGTGGGCCATAATGGCCAGCCCCCTACTTAATTGCCAAAATGGCAATGGACAACAGCATAACTAGCACAGTAAAGCGAGGGTGATGCCTCCTCCTCCTCCTCCTTTCCGTCCACCTCGCCCGTTCTCCAAGTAGCCCAGGCGGTCCTCAGTTTGTCAATGTGGTTTGGTCAATGGCCATACGCACGACTGCGTCACGACACGCTGCATCGCCAGCTAGCCGGAGTGTCATGGGCGTCTTGCTTTTGCGGGTTGGTGTTATTTATGTTGATGTGGTGGGATGCAGAAGGTTTGGTTGGTACCGTGCATGGCCGCGTCAAGACGCATCAGTCTTCAAGTTGTTCACTTAGCAGTGGCTCGTGTCTTTCCCTCTCCCCCATCCCTTCCCTCCTATCCCCCTTCTCTCTCTCTTTCTCTCTCTTCCTCTGTCCTCTCTCTCTCTCTCTTTCTCTCTCTCTCTCTCTCTCTCTTCTCTCTCTCTCTCTCTCTCTTTCTCTCTCTCTCTCTCTCTCTCTCGCTCTCTTTATATATTTATAAATTTGTATCATACATACATATGTCAAATCGATATTTCGTCCTTTCCTTCCTACTTGCTGCCATTGCGTGTGAATTGCATTTCTGGCCGATTGGGCCAAAGGGGACGTCCACACAGCATTATCAGCCGTTCTCCCACGACGTGCTTCGTAGCAGTTGGTGGTGATTGATTGGGCAAGGTGTGGGCGGCGTGCCCGCTTTGTGCCCAGTGCCCCGACACAAGGCTCACCAGTCAACCTTGTGAATAACTAGATTTTGTTTTGTTGCAGGCTTTGAGCACCCTTTCCAGGCTCATTTGTCTTCACACAGCGATGTCATGGAATTGGTTACGCTCCTGGAGAAGGCTTACGCGACAAGTGCGATGTCGTCTCAGGTAGCTGATCGTGCCCAATGATGTTGACAGCAAAAAGAAAGAAGGTTTACTGCAGCGATGAAGGAGAAGGCTCATCCCGTCCTGCACCCACTCAGCGCTTACCTTGTTCCTTGTTCCACGGGCACCGGAACATCGGCCCTGTGCATTGCAGGCCCTGGGCAAGCGAGGAGGAGAGGAGGAGGAAGCAAGAGAGCTCGCGGCAGGCGCCTGTGAGAGCACCGCCGGCCCGACCGCCTCCGCCGCGGCGCCGGCCGAGCACGAGCGCTGCGGGGGCGCCGGAGACGGCGGCGCCGCGGCGCCGAAGCGGCGCCGCCTTTGCAGGAAGTCGGCCGCCCCAGGCGGCCTGTACGGGCGAGCAGCCGCCGAGGACTTGGGGCCGGCGGGGTGCCGCGCCCTCGACGACCGACGACGAGTACGACGACCGACGAACGCACGGCGACGGCGGCAACGGCGAGGACCCAGAGCCTCCTGCGGCTCGGGGTCGAGCGGCGGCGTCTCGGCGCCCCAGTCGGCCTGGCGGCCCTCCGACGATCTCCGACGCCTCCTCGCGGCGGCCGCCCCATGTCCGCTCGGAGCGCTGCCGCTCGGGTGTTTTCGGGGCGCTCTCGGAGTACAGGTCGGGGAGCCTGTTCCTGGCCGAGGCTCGCCGTTGCCGGGAAAAAGCCCCCTCGTTCCCTTGTTCGGCGCTCCGTGCGGTGGCGGGATGGCTGTGTTCTTTCTCCTTCTCAGCTTCTCCATGTTCGCACTTACCCTCCTGGTCCGACTTCTGTTCCTGCTGCTGCTGCTGCTCCCCCATCCACCTCCTCTTCTTCTTTCGCTTCCTCTCTTTTTGTGCCTTCTACTCATCCTCGTGATCCACCTCATCATCAGCCTGCTCGTACTGATCATGTTCTAGCCCCTGATGATGTGTCAGCCTTCTCCCTCTCACTAACCATTTGTATCGTCCTGATGTTCACCATGTTAGCCGTGGCAATCACCATCACCATGATGCTGATCATCATCAGCAGCAGAATCATCGTCATCGCCATCGTCATCATCACCATCCTCATCATAATTATCATCATCACCATCAGCAGCAGAATCATCACCACCATCTTCATCATCATCATCAGCATCAGCATCGCAATCATCCTCGTCATCACCATCTCCGTCGCCATCGCAATCGTCTTCACCACCTCACGTTCCGAGCGACGATTCCCTTCGCCTCCTCATGCTGGTCGTCTCCTGCTCGCTCCTCGCCTCTCGCCCGTGTGCCCGCAGGAGCCGCGGCACCACGCCTCTTCGCCGTCCCTTCCAGCGTCGGCGGCTGCTGCGCCCCATGGCCAGCGCAAGGCGACACAGCTGAGAGCGGAGCCGCCGAGGCCGACGCGGTCGACTGGGGGGGGAGGGGAGCAAGGATAAGAGGAGCAGAGGTTGTGGGAAAACAGGGAGGGAGGGAGACAGAGACAGAGAGATACACAGACAGACAGAGAGACAGACAGAGAGACAGACAGCCAGACGGACAGACAGACAGAAAAAAAGAGCGAGAGAGACCGGGCGAGAGAGGCGGAGAGAGAGAGAGGGAGAAAGAGAGAGAGAGAGAGGACGAAAAAAAATAAAAACGAGAGAGAGAGAGAGGGGGAGAGATAAAGCAAGAAGCCAAGGGCAGAAGTACCGCCTTCGCGGCTGCCGTTCCGTGGCCGTTTTGGCCCAGGCCTTCTCGGGGTCCAGCTGCCCGTGCTGCCCCCTCCAGGGGAGGCGCATTTTCCCGCCACCCCCCGCTGGTCAGCGATGGGGGCGCTGGCTGCCAGGTGCTGCCCCTCGAGGTCTCGGAGCGCCCACGGCAGGTTCTCCGACAGCACCCCGGCAGAGCTGTTGGTGCCGGAGTCCGCGTTCTACATCAACTTCAAGTCGCGGGGAGCAAGCAACGGCACGAGCAGCATGGCCTTTCGACGGTCCGCGCCGATCTCTCGCATCGGCGCCGGGCTCCCCTCGCCGGCGGCGCCCCTGGCGCCGCCACCGGCGCGCTCCACGCGCAGGGGGAGGGGAGGCCAGCGCCGATCCAGGGAATCGGCGCGGACCGCCGAGAAAGTGTTCTGTTTGGATCAGTTGTCGTTCCTCGGAAGCTGCTGAACTTCGCCGAGGTCTTCCCCAGGATCGTGCGCGCGAAGCTCCGCGCGGCGGGCAGGAGTGACAGGGCCATAGGCATGGCGGGCAGGGGCGGCCGGCTCGTGGCGGACCTGCAGAGGTTCGGTGCGAGGTTCTCGGACGAGCTCGCGGGCAAGCTGACAGCCATCCTTCCGCAGCAGCTGGAGGAGCAGGGAATCCAGCTCGAGATGAGCCAGGTGCACTGCGGTACAATGGGTTTCGTAGTCATTCGTTGCGAGGTCCTCGAGGTGGATTTGGTCCAGCTTCTCGAGAAGGCTCGTGGTACGAGCTTTGCCGACAAGCTGCGGCCCCTCATTGGCCTCGCACGAAGGCTTGGCGATGTGGACCGCCGCCTCGTGCCCAAGATTCAACATCAGATGATGCTGAAACTGGAGCAGGAGATCCCTGCAATGCTCAAGGAGAAGGTGAAGATCGACATGCTCGTGGTCACCAAGCCGTCATCGGAGCAGGCGGACTTCTTCTTCGGAGCGCTCGCGCCACACAGGGTCGAGGTCGAGATCACGCTGCTGAACGCCGCGGAGATCGCCCCCCGAATTGCGCGAGAGAGGGCCAAGGGCAGGTTTGGGAGCGAGCTCGGCCGAGGCAAGCTGCTCGGAATGGCGGCCGGGGCTGTGGCGTCTACGGCCGTCGCCCGCGTGCCCGACAGAGTGTTCGGGCAGCTGGTCGCGCGCAGGCTCTCAGCGCGCTTGACGGAGAAGATGGCCGAGGTCGGGGTGACGGCGTGCGTGGTGGAGAAGCTGATTTCCGTTGATCGTTCTGGCCGCACCGTGCTCCGCTGCGAGGTCGTTGACGTGGACCTCTGCGTTTTTCGCGGTGCTGCCGAAGCGGTTGGCGCATGGAATTCCAGGGTGGACGGCGGTCGTCATTTCCTCAAGCTTGGCCACAAGGGGCGATCGGATATTTATAAAATGCTCAGGAATTACATTTCCTCACAGTTTCCCGAGCACCTCAAAGCGACGAGTGATATCTTAATCAGCGTTGACGTTCGTGACGTGCAACACGGTAATGTTGAAATGTTGGAGCTTGATTTCTCTGATTCCGAGACAGAAAGCATGTCCTCCCAAGTCGACGATGCCACCAGTACGGAACCTGCTTGCGCAGTCGAACAGCATGTTGAATAAGGAATGAGGCCAAGCCAGAGCCGCCGTTCCGCAGACGGCGATGCCTCGACTTGGTGGTCATTTTTTTGCACTGGGCAGTTTCCGATGGAAGGTCATTAAAAGCAGAGGCGCAAGACAAAGACGAAAAGAAAGGCGAGGAATAAGAGCGCCAGGACAACCAAAAACAGCGTGAGAAAAGAGAGGGTGAGAAGTAAACGGATAGAGAAATGCGGACGGAGAAATTGAGGAAGGGAGAGGAGAGAGAAAGAGGGAGAGCGAGCGAGGGAGCAGTTGCAAAATGAAGGCCGAGGGAGGGAGCATGGCAGGAAGACGAGAGGCGATTAGATGGCGAGGTCAACATCAACGCACAATTCCGAGCAAGTCTGCACTCAAGGGGCGGCTCCTGTGCATGACCGCGAGATGGTTCCCTGTCGTTTCACTCGCAGCGTCTTCGCACTCTGTGGTATTCTCAACGCTTCGCGTGTCCCCACCAGCCCATCCAGACGCGATGCCCAGCGGAGCTGCCCTGAACTCTTAAAAAATATCCTGGGGCCTCTTGCCCGCTCTTTCAATGCCTCTTGGAGCGTCTTGGGGGCCTCTTCGGGGGCCGATTTGGGGCCCTCTTGGGTGCGTAGTTGGGTCTCTTGAGCCTCTCTTTGGGGATCATCGGGCCGTCATGGGGCCATCTCGGAGGCGATCGGTCCAAAAAGGGGGCGCCCTTCAATTAGGATCGCCCCCTCCAGAAGGGCAAAAATGGACCCAAACCTTTTCTGGGGAAGGAGGAGAAGGAGGAGGAGGAGGAGGAGGCGGAGGAGGAGGAGGGAGGAGGGGATCCTCCTCCCTTCTCCTCCGCCTCCTCCTCCTCCTCCTCCTCCTCCTCCTCCTCCTCCTCCTCCTCCCTCCTCCTCCTCCTCCTCCTCCTCCTCCTCCTCCTCCTCCTCCTCCTCTCCTCCTCCTCCTCCTCCTCCTCCTCCTTCTCCTCCTCCTCCTCCTCCTCCTCCTCCTCCTCCTCCTCCTCCTCCTCCTCCTCCTCATCCTCCTCCTCCTCCTCCTCCTCCTCCTCCTCTTCCCCACCTTGGGATCGCCCCCCCAGGAGGGCAAAATTGGCCCAAATCCCTGCAAGTTTCATGTTTTTCGCTTTCTCGCCAAAGCCATCTTGGACGCTCTGACCGCTTGCGGCCACCCCTGGTCAGACCCAGGGGGGGGGGGCCCGAAGGGGAAGAAGAGGAGAAGATGGAAGCGGAAACACGCTCAACCACCTTCGCCCAGAGGGCTGATAGGAGTTGTGCGACAGGGGCGCCGGGGGGTGCAACACGTCAGGGGCGCAACCGGGGTGCGCAGCAGGGGCGCAACAAGGGCGCAACAGGGGCGCAACCGGGCAGTCAGGCACGCAGATCGCTCAGGCATGAAGGAAGGTGCACCTTTGGTGACCGAGAGGGCCCTCTGGGGCCCAAAAGGGGCACGGAAGGTGCACAGTTTTTCGCACCCCCTTTCATCGCCCCCCGACCAAGCAACGCGCAAACGGCCACACCAGGGCAAACAAGCAGAAAAACGTCGCCGCGTCGACCCCCCCCTCTCATCTCGGCCCGGGAGCAGCTCCGCTCTCCTCCTCCTCGTCCTCCTCCTCCTCCTCCTCCGCCTCCTCCTCCTCCTCCTCCTCCTCCTCCTCCTCCTCCTCCTCCTACTCCTACTCCTACTCCTACTCCTACTCCTACTCCGAGTCTAGGGGGCCCTGGCGGCCTCCTTGGAAATCTGGGGGGCACCGTTCGAGGGAGGAAACCACCCAGACCCGATAAGTGGCGTTTACTAAACGGCCCTGGGCGTTTACTGACCAGCCCTGCCCTGTTCGATTCCTTCTTTGGGTGCGTTTACTAAACGGCTTCGCGTGCCGGGGTGACTATTATGAGTTTGGATTCACTCGCCGAAGTTGAAGTTGTCAACTCCACTGTTCGCGCAATCATCCCACCCACCCACCCGCAATTTGGTTTGCAAAACCCATGCGGGAGCGATTGAGATGAGTGCTGGGTGTTGGCTGGTGCATTTCTGCGGCCGCGCTAGCCCGCGCATGTTCGCGCGCGCAGCGGCCAGCTAGTTTGGCGCAACCGACGCGAACGCGGTGGCGCTGACCGCTCGGCACATCCAAGCGAGCTTTCCAGTGCGAGTCTGCGACATGGGCGGGCGCGATATCATGGCGACGTCGACAACGGTAGACACGATGATGATAGTAGCGATGCTGGTGACGATGCTGACACCGACGACGGGGCAGCCAGTGACGGCGTCCATGCTAATCGCGCCGACGACGATGACGGCGTCTTCGCGTCGGTGATGAAGGTTTTGGACGGAAATAGAAATGCGCGCGCGGCAGACGCGCGAGAGTGGCTCGCATGGTAGTTTCGACACGGATCGTGCTACCCCAGCACGCGCGCAACGGCGTTCGAACGATTTCGACATGCGCGCGCGAAGCCCGTTTGGTAGGTTGAAATCCGCGTTGCGAGACCTTGCGCTTTTCCTAACCATTCTGCGGTGTTGGGTCTTCGTTTTGAAGAGACGGTCCCCACGTTCCTTCCTTCTTTCCTCCACCTAAGGCTCCGGTGGCGGTGTTCGCATGCGTCTCCCCCACCCAGCACAGCGTTTCGTCGCCCCACAGGGAGCTCCACTTGAGGCCCCAGTGGCGGTGTTCGCATGCGTCTCCCCCACCCAGGACAGCGTTTCGCGGCCCCGCATGTAACTCCACCTGGGTGGAGCGACCTGCGGAGCTGCGGAGCCCTGCATGGCGCATTGCAATGCAGGCACCGCCTCGTGGCCCACAGAGGGAGATACCCTCACACATTTCGCGCCCCCCCCCATAAGAAACCCGACCGACAATTATATACGCGATCGCGGCACCTACAGCTGAATATGGTTGCGTCCTTCGCCGGACTAATTTGTGTTGTTTAGACACTCGATTTTGAAATCTCTCCGAAACCGAAGGTTTTTCCCAACCATCCTGTGGTGTTGGGTCCTCGCTTTGAAGAGACAGCCCCCCCCGCGTTCCTTCCTTATTTCCTTCCTTCCTTCCTTCCTTCCTTCCTTCCTTCCTTCCTTCCTCCTCCACCTTCTCCCTCCTCCCATCCCTGCCTCTGCCCTGCGCATGTGTTCGTCGTCGTTATCAGCATCATCGCCATGTCATCGTCATCATCTGATCATCAGCATCATCAGCATCATCATTATCATTATCATTATCATTATCATCGACGTCATGATCACCACCGTTATCGTCACCATCATCGCCACCACTTTCGCCACGCCCCTTACACGTTTCGTGGCCCCACAGGGGGCCCCATCGAAGGCCCCAGTGGCAGTGTTCGCATGCGTCCACCCCACCGAGCACAGAGGCCCGCGGCCCCATAGGGAGCCCCACCTCAGGCCCTAGCGGCGGTGTTCGCATGCGTCTCCCCCACCCAGTACGGCGCTTCGTGGCTCCATAGGGAGCTCCACTTAAGGTCCCAGTGGCAGTGCTTTCATGCATCTCCCCCACCCAGGACATCGTTTCGTGGCCCCACAGGAAGCTCCACTTCAGGTCCCAGTGGCGGTGTGCACATGCATCACCCCCACCCAGTGCTTCGTTTCGTGGCCCCACAGGGAGTTCCACCCAAGGTCCCAGTGACGGTGTTCGCACGCGTCTCCCGCATTCAGAAAAGCGTTTCGCGGCCCTACCTCGAGCTCCACATAAGGCCCCCTTGTGGCGGTGTTCGCATGCGTCTCCCCCGCCCAGGACAGCGTTTCGTGACCCCACAGATAGCTTCACCTACGGCCCCAGTGGCGGTGTTCGCATGCGCCTCCCCCACCCAGGACAGCGTTTCGTGGCCCCACAGGAGTTCCACCTACGGCCCCAGTGGCGGTGTTCGCATGCGTCTCCCCCACCCAGGACAGCGTTTCGTTGGCACCACATCGAGCTCCACCTATGGCCCTATTGGCGGTGTTCGCATGCGTCTCCCCCACTCAGGACAGCGTCTGGTGGCCCACAGGGAGCTCCACCTACGGCCCCAGTGGCGGTGTTCGCAGGCGCCCCCACCACCCAGGGCAACGTTCCGTGGCCCCACAAGGAGCTTAAGGCCCCAGTGGCGGCGTTCGCATGCGTCTCCCCCACCCAGGACAGCGTTTCGTGGCCCCACAGGGACTTCCACCCAAGGCCCCCGTGGCGGTGTTCGCATGCGCCTCCCCCACCCAGGACAGCGCTTCGTGGCCCCACAAGGAGCTCCACCTACGGCCCCATTGACGGTGTTCGCATGTGCCTCCCCCACCCAGCACAGCGTGTCGTGGCCCCACATCCACCTAAGGCCCGAATGGCGGTGTTCACATGCGTTTCCCTCACCCAGTGCTTCGTTTCGTGGCCCCACAGGGAGCTCCACCCAGGGTCCCAGTGACGGTGTTCGCATGCGTCTCGCGCATCCAGAAAAGCGTTTCGCGGCCCCACATCGAGCTCCACCTAAGGCCCCCGTGGCGGTGTTCGCATGCGTCTCCCCCACCCAGGACAACGTTTCGCGGCCCCACATCGAGCTCCACCTGGGTGGAGCGACCTGCGGAGCTGCGGAGCCCTGCATGGCGTATTGCAAAGCAGGCACCGCCTCGTGGCCCACCGCCTGCTGGCCCACAGAGGGAGACACCCTCACACATCTTGCGCCCCCCCCATAAGAACCCCCACCGAAGATTATACACGCGATCGCAGTACCTACAGCTAAACATACTTGGGCCCTTCGCCAGGCTAATTTAAGGATTTCGGCATGCGCGCGCGACGACGTGCGCGTGTGCACGTCGTCCCATAAGCAAGGGATTCTTGAAACTTATGAATTATGATAAACGAGTATGCGCGCATAGTATTTGTTGCAGAGGATGGTGGGAGTACCGTTACCGGCCTGGCTGGGATTGTATGAATTCACAGGTACGATGGACATCGGGTCAGAGTCATATGTGTTTTGCATATGCTCTGGGGGAATGGATAAGTCCCGGGGGGGAGGGGGAGAATTCATTTTTACCTAACA